TCGAATATCGACGGCATTATCTAAATGATAAACGCGCGAAATACTTCGATATGGCGTGAAACTTACGTTGAGGTTGTGGTGGCAACGTTGGCTGCGGCGCAGGTGAACTCCTGGGCGCATGTCTTAAATCCAATGCCGCTTCGTTGGATATTCTTGCATCTTCTACAGGCTGCCGAGGGCTTTGTAACCTTTGATGCGGTGACTGAAGTCTTTGATGCGGAGACTCCATTGTGAGCCTTGCTTGTTCCAAGTGTCTGTGCGTTTCTGCCGTATTCGAGTGTGGTCTTGGCAGCTCGATGGAATTCGATGGTGGTCTCGTCTGTTCGACTCTGGGCGATGGTGAATTTAGCGGAAGTCGCGGGGATATCCCAATCGGCCGGTTCTCTGGTCGGAGCTGCGGTGTTTGGTCATTGGCTAAGCCCAGGACCTGAGCCGCGTATTCTCCTTGAAGAGCCATCTCGGCTCCTGTGAATGGGCCACCATCGCACCGTTTCAGCCAATAAATTCGTTGACTATGAGGTCTGGCATCCTGCTCGTAACTCTCCCATTGCTGTAACAGCAAGGCGTAGCAAAGGCTGCATGCCTTGATGGCTCCGCTTCTGGCTCCATCGCCACGGTAGCCGGCAGGTGGTTCATGCGATTCAAGAAATGGAAAGTAAGGTTCGTTTGGCGCACCACCCGGGCTTGGCTTTACTCTCAGCCAATATTGTTCCCCGTGGCCTATCGTGCCACAAATGAAACAAACTCTAGCTCCTCCGGCATCCTCAGTGGATGGGTTCGGTTGTGGATTTGCAATTGATTGCCCGTCAAGTCCCGGCTCATTTTTCACATATAGATTACTTTCCATCATGTCAGGAAACCATTGGGTCTCTTCAATGCCCTTTGATATAGCTTTGTTTGGCACGCATATACGATCACAAGTTGCAGTAATCGACAAAACTTTTAAATTTTGCAAGTATCTGGAAATATAAAAGCAGGTCGTTAGTCAGGGATCTTGTCTAGTCAGCATCATTGCTATTATTATTAAATACATCAATACAAAAATTAAATGGCCATTCTGTGACCAACGCCTTGTACAGATGACAGACAATTTCAAAGTGTTTGTAGAAGTGCAAACTCAACTGCAATCTTACTCTTAGTTGGAGGGGGAAAAAATTGAATTATTACAGATATGAAGAGAAAAAGAACAGGTTTGTTTAATTACATAATAACTCGACGAATCAAGATACTGTCGCATAAACAGAATTTTATATTCGTAAACATCTGCGCTCGTTTCGTTGGAACGAGACATGGTCTTCGGAGCCACGTTGTTTCAGTTTAATGTAGCATTCAGATGCAAAAGAATACAGAAAGTAAACAAAAATGACTGGCCGAATATTCGTGCAACGTGCGAATAAATATTCGTGTACAAATCCATCGTGATGATTCAAACGAGACGATCGTGAATTCTAAATTTTTTCCTTTTTTTTTAAGGGAGGGGGGAGGAGGAGGAGAAGAAAAATGATATAAATAGAGTGTATTGTTAACTGTCGTACACTCGTTATCGTTGGTGAAGCATTGCAACGCACGATGCTTTTAGAATACCGTAACATGTGGTATTTTTGGAGCGTTGGCTACATCGACGTTTACCGACACCGACCATAGAACACATTTTCGGATATCGGCAACAGCAGAGAAACGAACGAGAGAACTGCTCTGTGTTCGACTTGTGTGTTTACAGTGACATCGTTGAGAGTACGATTGAAGGAAGAGATAAGGACGAGACACGAGCTCAAAGGTAAGCACCGTCGAGGTAATCGATCGAATGATGCATTTTTCAATGACGAGGGCACGGTTGCCGACGAAAATAAAGCAACGATTCCGCGGACGATTTTCCATCCTTTCTTCGCGAAAATTTCCTTCGCCAAGGAAACACGAGTCGGTTAAAAATATTCAACGCAATGGTTGCACAGTGGATGGAACCGATCTGCTACGTCGAAGTTTCCGCGATCGAAACTCGATTGAGCGAGGCGAACGAAAATCGCGATCACTCGGTATGAAATTGATGGAATTTTGACGGTGAAGTTATCGGGAGCAACGCAAGAAAGGGATGCTGGATGATCGCGGACAAGGCACCCGTGCATTCTCCTCGCTACCGAAATACGCACCCACAGGCACTTTCGTATGCACACCTTACATTTTGCATGGAACACTCACATTTTCACAGTTCGGGATGGGTGACCACCACATTGCTACTCTGTGGTGGTAATTTTGATTGGCGACACGTATTACTTGGGCGAAGCAGAGCTTCCTTATCTCGGGTTCTAGTCTCTGCCATACGTGGTCGGACACCACACCAAGTTGCGGGGTGTCACCTTCGAAATAGCGTTGCGCTTCGTTACACACATATTTATATACACAGCGTATCGTCTAACACGAGCCGGATCCGTATTACACTGTCGCATGCATCGAGAGTACAATAAAGGAGGTTGCGCGACTATGAAAAATACATTTTCTAATGGCACAGCACCGCGACTTTGGCTCAATTCACCGCCATGTTGCAAAATTACGATCTGCTTCCCATGATGCCACGCAGCTTCGTCATATGACAATGCCGCTGCGTCAGCCAATCAGGCAATAAGACGCATGCGCGTACGCGACAACTTCTAACTCAACTGCCGCTCGGCACAATCTGGCGCCACGTTTGAACGTTTTTTT